AGGATCACTTGAGCCCAGGAGTTTGAGGTTGCTGTGAGCTAGGATGGCGCCACATCACTCTAGCCCGGGCAATACAGTGAGACTCTGTCTCAAAAAAAAAAAAAAAGAATAAGTTCTAGTACCTACATTTTTATAACATTTTATCATTCTAATATTTGACAGGAACAATGTTTCCAAAGATCTTTGTTTTTGTTTTTTAATAATTCTAGCTGGCCAGCTCAGCCAATCAGCACATTTAGCTCTCCAGCTACCATACAGTGTCCTTGGTTTAGGTCGAAGCGCAAACTTCCTTGACCACCTTTACGTTGGTATTCCCCGTCCATCCGGAGAGAAGGTGAGTAAAAATTTAGTTTGTTTACAATTTATCTGTGTTTCAATATTCACTATTTAAATATTTAAATTCAACAGTTTGAACCCAATTGATTTTGAATTCAAATATTTTTTATTCCCTTTGAAGAGTAAAGAAAAATTGATTGGTAGTGACATATCTAAGCTTATATTACATATAAGGATCAGGATTTGAAAATATTATATAGTTATTTTTCCATCTCCTTTTCCATAAATCTCACCTGTTCCTCTTTGTTGCTTTTTCTCCATAACATTTTTAACCACCTAACATGTATAAGTAAAATAGTATCACTACACTTACGTTATACGTGATACGTGTATAGTATGTATAATAACAGCATATTTTATTGTCAGTCTCCCCTTAACTTGAATTTTAGCTCCAAGCATTTGCACACAGCACGTTGAACAGTGCCTGCTACATCGGTGTCCAATAAATATTAGTTGAATGAATGAATTCATAAGACACAAATATAATCCTTCCCTGAAAAGATCAGAAAATTTTTCCAACAGATGGTTCAGGAGCCCTATTTTTGGCTTAATATATGTAAACATAGCTTAATCTATACCTAGGATTCCAATTTCTCAAAGTGCTCAAGGTTTATCCTTATTTATGTAGAATAATTTTGTTTCATAAATGTAATGAATGTTAAATGTTCTTAAATTCTTCTTCCAGTCTATACGAAAACAAGAGTGGACTGCGATCATTCCCAATTCCCAGCTGATTGTCATTCCATACCCTCACAACGTCCCTCGAAGGTAATGTCCTTGCTTGAACTGAATTCGTTAAAGATACTGTCCACTCTGAACCATAGATACAGCTGTATCTTTTAAAACCTGTCTTCTTCCTGCTGGGTTCCCATGAGTGCCCATCAGTTAATTTTCTTACAGCAAACTTTAAATGTCTAAACATACTTACACAAAAGGTCCCTGACATTTTTCATGAGGAACAAATTCATTCCTGTTAGAAAAACAGCTTGTTAACTAATTAGGGATTTATACATATTCTGCTTAAATAAATTGGCCTCCAGTTTACTAGTTATAAGTTCCAAAATTTCAAGATACTAAATTTTTTAATAAAGCAGTGATGTTTTTAATAAATTCTTTGAGAAGTTTTGGAGTCAATAGATCTAGGCTAGAAAAACTGAGCTGCACTGCGGCCCAACTGCAAGGTTAGGACTAGTCCTTTGTCCTCTCTGAGGCTCAATTTCTGCATCTTTAGAAGGGGAGATAGAATACGGGCCTTATAAGGACCAGGATGAAATATCCTTAGCACAGTGCCCAGCATACTGTAAGTGAATAATAGGTATTTATCCACAGAATATGCTCCTTTCATAATACAGGATTTAACTCTAAATTCTTAATTTATCTTTGTTCATTTTTCTTTAAATTACAGGATTGATTCTATTCTTTTTTTAAATTTCAAAATATTACAGGGGTACAAACATTTTGGTTACATATTAATAAATTGCTTTTGTACCGTTTGAGTCAAGTTATAAGTGTGCCCATCACCCAGATCACGTGCACTGTACCGTTTGATGTGAATTTACCCATCCCTCTCCCCCCACCTGCTTGGTTTCCGGTGAGTGTTATTGCCATAGATTCTATTCTTTTTAAAGTAAGAAATGAAGGTATTTACTAACATTTAGACTTCACTGGGGAAAACTATGCTAGTCTGATAACAACATGGGAAAATAACCAAAGAGAAATGGTGCACTTTGCCTACGAGTACTCGTGACCAGCGGGGGCCCTGCCTGTTAAACTTCTTCTCAGAATACTGGCTTTACTGTCCATTATCACATTTTTAGATGGGGTGGATTCAGTGGAATGCTACAGCCAGTTTATGACGCCATCTCACGAGCTGACTCTGCGCGTCTTTTTCCACCTCTATATCGTGGAGTCACATTACAATTAGTTACGGTGGGAGAATTTACTCCATGAAAATTGGCAAGTGCCGTAAACTCGGGCTCCCCCATCCTCGCCCCCACGGAGGCACTTGATGAGAACACCACTGGATGTATTTTATGGTAGATTTATGGGCTTCAGAACAAAACTGCTTAGGAAAACAAACTTTATCACAGCATTATGTTTGGAATAAGACAACATCAGTACAAACAGTTATAGTCCTGGTTCAGATTTTTTTTAATAAGCCTGTATGGTGT